AAAAAAAAATGTTCAATATCACTTAATATAAGAGAAATGTCAATTAAAACCACAATGAGACACTGCTTCACCCCTGTAAGAACACCCCATATAAAAAAAGAGTGGAATTAACAAATGTTTGACAGGGTTGGGGTAAAAAAGAAACTTTCATCCACTGTTGGTAGGAATGCAGGTTGATACAGCCCCTGTCGAACCCGGATTAGTAATTTCTCACAAAAATAAAAATGGAAATTCCATATGATCCAGCAATATCTCTATTAGGTATTTATCTAAATGGCATGAAAACTCAAATACAAACATTTATCTACATCTACATACATAGAAGCATTGTTCACAATCACCAAATCCTGGAACCAACCCAAATACTCTCAACAGAGAAACTGTGGAGCACATATGTCGTGGAATATTACACAGCAGTGAAGATAGACAAAATGGTGGATTTCGATGGAAATGGATGGACCTGGAGGTGATTAGTTTGAACAATCAGTCAAAAGTAAAAGACAGATAAAGGAAGTTTTCACTCATCTGTGGAATACAAATACCAAAGAAATTTATACACAAAGAATAGAAGGAATAAAACTTGAACTTGATGAAAAGAAAATAATGGTTTCCAGAGGGAACAGGAGAAAATGAAGGAGGGAATGGAGGAGAAAGGCAGATGAAGCATGGGCATAGTAGATAGTTTGGCTGGGGCGGGAGGAGGAATGAACCTCTGTTTTAAATAAAAAGCAAAATAGTATACCCTAATAGTGACATACTGGAAAGATTCTCTTTAAAATCAGAAGGGGAAGGATGGCCACTATTGCCATTTCTACTCAATGCTGTATTGAAGATCTTAGCCTGCACTGCAAAGCAAGATGAGGAATGAAAGAAAAGGAAGAAGCGAAGGAAATTCAATGGTCGTTTCTACAGATGATACAGTTGCCACCATGGAAAGCCCAAATGAATAGGCAAATATATAAAAAGAATTAGTAAAATAATTCAGCTATGATGCAGTATACAAAGTCAACTGTGTATTGGTACATCAGCAATACTCAACCAGAAAAGGTTGGCTTTTTTCTCCAAAAAAGATAACATTTGTGACATGCTAGAATAAGCAAAACTACCTCATGCTGATAGAAATCAGGTCAATGGTTGCTTCTAGGGTAAAGGGTGATGGAGATTGACTCAAAAAGGCCATAAGTGATGAAAATACTCTGTGTTTTGATAGGTTGCACACATTTGCTAGAACTTACTGAATGGTAAACTGAAGAATTGAGCATTTCTGTGTGATTATTGTACTTGGGTTTATTCATTTTTATTTATGTTTATTAAATATAACATCTTCTATATACCATGTTGTCTTCTTATTTATTTTGATCTTAACTCACTATGATCCTTTTCTGAGTTTTCTCTGCTTTCAGAGATCTTCTATGAAGTTTATACTTACTTTCCAATCAATGATATCTCAAGAAATGAATTTCTCATGAAAGATTTCATCTTCTCTTCTTGCATATTGAACTACCACCAATGTCATCCCACCCCACTTTAAAAAGTTGGCATAGAAATAACCCTAAACTGGGGCCATCCCTGGTGGCACAATGGGTTAGGACGCAGCTCTGCAAGCTGGCTGCAGCACTTCAGTGCAAGTTCAATCCCGGGCCTGGAAGGAGACCCACCTGGCACAGCAGACCTCTCCTGACCTGCCTGCTGTTCCCCTCAGCAGTGTACTTCGTCAGTCATCCTGTTCTGCCTGTACCCCAGTTCTGTACGCATAAATAAATAAATCTTTTAAAAAAAAAAAAAAGTCCCTTTCCAAAACTGAGGTATAGATTCAATACCATTCAATTAAAATCTCAGAATGGTTTTTCACTGAACTTGACACACGAATCCTCAAATTTATATAGGGAAGCACACAGGTATGAGTAGCAATGACAAACTGATAGAAGAAAAATAAAGTGGGAGTGCTAGTTCCAGATATCAAGACACATCAAAAACCTACACTAGTAAGACTGGAAAGATGGTAGTATGGGGTTGCAGTAGTTCGTGTCCAAGATGATGTCTAATGGCCACAGAACCGTGTATTTATTTATGCCTTTCCTGTCAGCCCCTAACACTACTGGCCTTGCATGTCAAGAGAGTGCAGTAACAACAACGTGTGAGTTTTCAAGGCTAGCCAACTAAAGGCACTGTAGCTTCCCGTCTGGGCGCTTGCCTGGCTCACCTGCGGCCATGTTTGCCTCTCAACAGCCTTGCAAGTCTCGCAAGACTGAGCCATCAGCGAAGCGGGCTCTCCAGACCTGGCCCTGCCTTCAGCATCCTACTGGAACCTCATAGAAACCCCAAAGGAGAACAGTCCAGCCAAGTCATTTCAGAA